ATTTAAGTTGTGTTATAAAGATCAAAACTATTTACGATACATCTTTATGAATTAATATAATTTCTTTTATTATTTGTTTCACAAACTTTTCTATGATATATTATTAGTTGATGTGTGACTCCTAATATAATTTTTGTACGTGCTTCATGTATTTTGAAGTTATATTGACTCTTAATATAATTTTTGTACGTGTTTCGTGTATTTTGAATAGGCCTATCCAATTGGGCTTCGGTCCGGACCCGGCTCGGTGTTTGACCCGAACCCAGCATGGGCCCGGGAAAAGCCCAGAAAATCTAGGCCGATCGGGCTCCGCGCCCGGGTCTGGGTTGTGTTGATGAAGCGTGGCCTGGGCTTGACCCGGTTATTAAATTTATATATGCTTTTTTTATATAATATATATATATATATATATTTATGTATAATTATATTATGATATGGTCATTAATGTATACTTAAATATATTTCTAAGCGTGTGTGGTATTTTTAGGAAAACGACCATAGTTTCCTTATCCAAAATGTATATATTTAAGTACGCAAGTGTGTGTGTACTTGTAAGTATACAAGTAAATTATATACTTATATATATGCACTCTTACCATGATATAGATACTAAGATATAATTATATAAGTGTATATAATGTAGTTATAAGTATACTTATATGCTTATATTATAGACTTATAGTTATATAAGTATATTTTATATAAGGACATAAGTATAACTATATATAAGTATATTGTATCTAGTATATATAAAAAGTATATCATATAAGTAAAGTATATAACAATACTTTAAAAAACATAATATAAGTATGTAACAAATACATATATAACTATATAACACATATTTATAAATAAGTAATATATACTTATATGATACTCTCTCTCTCTTTCTGGAGTTATAACTTATAAGTATATACAATATATGTATATATTGTATATATAACATATAGTTATATACTAATATGTAAGTATATACTAATACATTTTATATATAAATATAATAAGATTAATCTACTTTTAAGCAATTTTTTTGCAAAAGAATAAAAAAAATTCGGGCTTGCTCGGAGCCCGGCTCGGTTTGGCGCGGACTTAGGCCCGGGTCCACGGCACCCTTGGTCCGGTCCGGACTATGCATTTTGCCCGGTCCGGTCCGGCCTAGCTGAACTCATATATGAATTCACCAGGATTAATAGACATAATAGTAAATGAAAAAGGAAGCTTATATTTAGGTTTTTCTTTTGGTGGGAAAAAAGAAAATATGATTTTATTTCTGATCTACGACGGACATTGTTGCTATCAGAAGCATTAAACTACATAAAATTTTGATGGTTGGTAGGTATTATTGTCATTTATGGTTTGGGTTCCGTCACAAATTAGTGGGAAAAGAGATTTCTTTTTTATTGAAAGGGGAAAAGAAATTTCATGACAAAGATGCTTACCAAACGATATAGATTTGCCTGACAGTTAAATTATTTTACTATAGTTACACTAATATATGACATTTGATTATTAAAGATGACACTGATGCGTCCATGAATATAATCTAAATTGAGATGCAAATGCTGCTAAGAGCCGTATTAATGCTTTTTTTGGTCAATGAAAAATTTTATTCACTCACCAAATATGTAACGTTATGTACATCAAGTTACTCAAAAACAGAGATATCAACTATATAGACATTTTTGCCTAAAAAAAAATATGAAACTCAAGAAAGCAAAATCATCAAACTTTTGTATCAACTACAGTGAGAGGAGCCACTGTTTGTCTTCAGCAGGTAGTGGATAATTGAGAGATATAGTCAATATATCCACTTTAATTTTCCTAATCAGCTGATCAATACACCTGGCTTTTCCCTTGAAGATTCTATCATTTCTTTCACTCCAAATATTGTAAATTGCAACCGAAAAAGCCAATCTCTTGATTCTTTGTGTGGTGCCTTTCCCTCTCAACCTGGAAATGTACCAATCCAAAAGCCAGAGAGAGAGAGAGAGAGAGAGAGAGAACTTATGTCAACTTAAGTGGACGTCCACTAAGTTTCTTATCCATTGATGATTACTTGATTGAGCTACATTGTAGATGATCCGTTTCGTTGAGCTTGATCTACATATTCTAAAACCCCAACACACCAAATTTAGGGTGAACCCGTCGTGGTTTGACCATTTATCCACTCGTATCAATTTTAACGGTTTCGAATGAATATAACTTTTTACATGGCTCGACGGAGGGTCAAACCATAACGGGTTCACCCTAAATTTGGTGTGTTGGAGTTTTAGAATATGTAAATCAAGTTTAACAGAGCGGGTCATCCACAATGTAGTTCAATCAAGTGATCATCAATGACCAAGAAACTTAGTGGACGTCCACTTAAGTTGACATAAGTTTCCCCATAGGAAATTTCTACAGAGTACATCAATTTGACGAAGAACTTTGATTGGAAGAATGTAACAGGAAGTCCAGAATATCTGAATACCCAGAATAACACTTTTAATTACTTGTAGCCTACCAGCATATGACAGCTTCCTGTGTAACCATGTCTGAAACTGGCCTGATATTTTCACAAAGAGAGAGCTACAATCCATGTATGACATTCTTTTGGATATAAGTGGCAAACCAAGATATCTGATAGGAAAATTCCCCTCAGGAAAGCCCAAACAGTTTCTGATAGTATCCTTTGTAGATTCATCAACTCCACCATAAAAAATAGAGCATTTAGAAGGATTTGCCTCTAAACCAGATTTAGCACCAAAGTCTTTGACACATTCATAAATTTTGTGCACTGAATAAGAATCCCCTTTGGTAAACAATAGTAGATCATCAACAAAATTTAGATGGGAGATATTGAGCTTCTTACATTTTGGATGGTATTTAAAATTTCTGTCATTTTTCAGCAAAACAATGCTCCTGGAGAGGTACTCCATCGCAAGAATGAACAGATAGGGGGATAGGGGGTCACCCTGCCTTAACCCTCTTTCACCCTTAAAATACCCATGCAAAGATCCATTAAGAGAGATGGAGTATTTAGGGGATGAGATGCAAGCCATAATCCAATCTATGAATACCCGAGGGAAGCCCAAGCCACTGAGTAAGTGCTGTAAGAAGCTCCAACTAACAGTATCAAAAGCTTTCTTAATATCTATGTTGATCATGGTCCTTGGTGACACATGTTTCCTCCCATAACCCTTAACCAGTTCTTGAGCTAGCAAAATGTTATTGGTAATTTGTCTGCCTTTCACGAAAGCACATTGAGCCTCATTTATGATACAACCCATAACAGACTGAAGTCTATTAGCTAGGATTTTAGATATGAACTTGTAGAGGCAATTACAACAAGAAATGGGACGGAAATCAGCAGGAGTTTTAGGGCAATGTACCTTGGGAATTAATGCAATATAAGTGGAGTTTACTGCACCCAGAAGCTTCCCAGTTCTGAAAAATTCTTCAACTGCAGAAGTAACCTCATCTCCAAAATAGACCATGCTGATTTATAAAAAGATACACTATACCCATCAGGTCCTGGGGCTTTGTTGTCAGGCATAGAGAAAACTGTTGCACGAATTTCATCTTTTGAAATTGGTCGAGATAGGTACCTAACTTGGGTATCAATCAGACAAGGGCCACTCTGAATGACTTTGATGTCTGGGACAGAGGTTGGAGTAGCAGTGCCCATGAGATTCAGACAAGGGCCACTCTGAATGACTTTGATGTCTGGGACAGAGGTTGGAGTAGCAGTGCCCATGAGATTTTTGTAATATGAAATAAATTCATTTACAATCCCCTCTCTATCAGTAATTTTTTCACCCAAATCATTATAGAGGATTAACACTCTGTTGTGATGCCTGTTGCTTTTGATGGTAGAGTGAAAAAAATTTGTATTTCTATCCCCATGAACACTCCAGGCTATCCTTGATTTTTGCTGGTAAAAAGATAGTTCACACTCCATAAGTTTATTGTATGAAGAGATCACATTCTTTTCCTGATTTATGAGTGTGGCATGAAGAGATCACATTCTTTTCCTGATTTATGAGTGTGGCGTTGAGAGGATCAGACTGTAACTTTTTTTTGAACTTCCTCCAATGTTATCTTTTCTCGTTGGACTTGTTCACTAATATTGTAGAAATGCCTTTTATTTAGCTCCTTCAAAGAACCCTTCAAATTCTTCAGCTTTGAGAAGACAGAGAACATCTTGCATCCATCAATAGAAGTTTCCCATATTGCTGAAACTGAGGGTAGGAAGTCCTCATGCTTTGTCCACATTTTAAAAAATTTAAAAGGCTTTTTTCCCTGCAAATTATCTTCATAAACTGAAACATGAGCAGGAGAGTGGTCAGAAAACATAGGGAGCAAAAACTCAACATGACTAGAATTATAGCTGTGCATCCAATGATCATTTACTATAGCCCTATCCAGTCTACTCCACACTCTAGTGCTTGAGTCTTGTTTATTATTCCAGGTATAGAAACAACCAATAGTCTTGAGATGAGTGAGGTGGCAATCTTCAATAAAATGGTTGAAATCTCTTGTTTCAGCTTCAGTCAACAGAACACCCCCCAGTTTCTCATCATTGCTTAATACAGCATTAAAGTCACCACATAGAAGCCAAGGCTCATTACCAATTGATTGCTGAATCTGAGTAAGTTCTGACCACAAAGCCTTTCTATATTCCAGATGATTATATCCATAAATTGAAGATATAATACAGTTGAACCTACCATCAACAGATTTGATTTTGCATGTAATTTGTTGAGGAGATGAATTGATGATCTGAACATCCAGGATATTTGGATTCCACAAAGATAGAATTCTAGCTTTCTCAGAGTTATTTGCATTAGAGCACCATTTCCATTTTTTCTCTATTTTTTGCACTATTTCTGATATACTTGAGATCTTAATCTTTGTTTCAAGAAGAGACAGGAAAGAGAGATTGTATTGCATAAGATGGTGTCTAACCAAATGTTGCTTAGAGGATTTGTTTAATCCTCTAACATTCCAAAAGGATAAATTCATAGTGCTATATCCCCCCTATCAATTGTAGAGGGATCAGCATCATTTACCTCATTTAGCAAAGATGAGAAAGGATTTACATGCAAGGGATTCATCACCTTATTACTTTTTTGTATATGAGCCAAAGGTGCAGCAGCAAGTGAAGGATTGATTCTAGAGTTTGGTCTAGGTTTGGCATGCACAACATGCACAAACCCTCCAGTATCAGGTCCTGAAATATCAGCAATCCCCCCTGCATATCTTGAACTGTCTTTGAAACATGCACAACCTGCACAGCTGAGTCAACATCTTTCCCTTCCAAATCATGTGAAGAATCATGAATATTGTTTCTGCTACTATCTTGCTCACTTTGCATGTTAATATTGTCCTGACTCCTCATACTTCCAGGGTTGTTCTCTTTAAGAACCAGACCAGCCACAGTATTTAGCTTAGGGACCCATTTCTGAATTACAGGCTTTCTTCTACAATTTTGAATATCATGACCAACCTGTTTGCAATGATCACACCACCTTGGTTTTAGCTCATAGATGATCTTCTGGTTGTATTGCTTACCATTTGGACCATTCACTGTAATCTGATCAGGAAGGGCACTGGGTAATTTCACTTCTATTAACACCCTAGCATAGGCCAATCTTTGCCTATTTGCAGTTAGCTTATCTGTAGCTATAGGTCTACCAATTAAACTTGCAATTTTGCTAATTCCCTTCTCATTCCATAAATTCAGCTTAAGAGCAGGTAATTGTATCCACATAGGATAGATGCATTCATTTACTTTTTCAAAATCCTCACTCAGGGACCAAACTTTTAACAACAGTGGTCTCGAGCCAAAAAACTAGGGACCATTGGCTAAGATTTCGTTCATTTCCTCCTTATTCCTGAATTTGAACAGATACACTCCAGATTTTAACAGACAGATTTCAGGAATTATAAAATGAGCCCAAACTTTTTTAATGAAATTTTCCATAGCTTTAAATTTGACATTGATGCCAAGAACTTGTCCAACAAGCGAAAATTTCCAAATGGAGGCACCTTCATTCCACTCCTCTTCATCAAATTTTACTGTATCTTTTTGTTCTGAGGGAACGTAGCACAGATCCATTCCACTGCCTAATTTTCTATTATCTGAAAAAAGACTAGCCTAATTTTTCTTTGTTGCATCCCCAGGGGGAAGAACTTTCCCATCATCTTTATTTTCCAATGAAACAGTGGCACTCATTACTGTAGGATTAATAATAGGAGTTTCAATCTCATTTGAAAGCAAAATAACAGGTTCAGGATTAGAGTTTAATGAGTTCGTTTCAACTGAGGTAGCCTCAACGAAATCATTTTGCTTACAAGACGATCTAGCATCGAAATCAACTTCATCGGCCCAAGAGACCTTACCAGAGTTAGCAATCACTCGAGGGGAGACCTGATTCTGACTAGATCCACAAGCAGCGTCCTTCAAAATATCCGAAATAAGCTTCTTACATTTCTCTCCCTTTGGGCCCGTTGACCCCATAAAATCCGAGAAATCACCATCATCCTCCATAGATCCAGCATCAGACTGATCGATTTGATGAAAAGAACTCGAACTTGAAGCACTAAATCCAATATTTAGAATTTTTTTCCCATTATTCCTCCTTTTTTTTGCCATTTTAGCCACGGCGGGAGAGCGCAAGATAGCAGGGGAAAATCGCCCGCTATCATGCGCCTAACAGAGCCGGATTAATGCTAAATCATAGAGACATGGAGGTTTTTACTATCACGATCAAACTATGGCCTTAATTTGTCACACCACAGTAAGGATATTGTTAGGATTCATATCATAACATCAATAATATTCTAGCTTAAGCTTTTTTCAAATTAATCTCTTTTAAAATAGGGTTAATTTAAGATATACTCATTGTACTATGACAGTGAAAGCATTTATATCATATACTTTACCATAAATCAAACCTTTGAGATACGGACGATATTATTTTCTCTAGTTTAGTTCAGATATCATGTGGGAATCTTAGGGCAATAAATTAGTTTAACCTAGTGTATCTGCAATTAACCTTTTTTTTATGTTACTCATGAAACAAATTGTCACTGAAAAGTTTCATTGGATTAGGTTAAGTTAGCGGCCTAATTAAACCCTTTCTACTAAACCTGTATGTTTACATCACAGTAAGCAATAATTAATATTAACTAGACTAGATGCATAATAACAGTGGTGATGGTGGCAGTGGTAGTGGTCACGATGGTGATATAAAAACTACTGACGGTGATATTTAGCACTTCTAGGAGTGAATAAATATTACTCCTAATCTTACTTTCGGTACCATGATTATCTAAGTTTGGGTGGCTTTAAGGAACCGCTATTACATGTATATAATCTAGTGCTTATTTAAATATTAGGGACTAGCCATTAAAATTGCAATTTTAACCCATCATATATAAAGTCTATCACCTAGTATAGACAATAGTTTTAGGAAAATTTTCTTTACAACCAACAAAAATGTATATTGCTAGTTTTTTTAATAATCCAGACCGAATCGAATCCAAGACCCTGAGAGCCATAATGAATACTCACAGCCATGTAGATCACCCGTGGTGGATATTATATTGATAGTTAATTACTTAGGAACTATGTGTAATCAACCATACACAAGGGCTATTGCTTGACCATCAAGGTCCAAAATTTATTTACGTATTAGGTGAGGTCATAGTTTCTTTCACTTGGCAATAATCTTTTAAACTACAAAAGTGTTTTTTTTTAAAGCAAAAATGGGGGAAACTTCATCATTCATATATATTAATAAAAAAAGGGGATTTTGTTTTTTTAACTCATAGTTTTACGCTCACTTATTTAAAAACTTACTCACTTCCATGAACACTCGTACACTCAAAGTAACCCATGTGACTTATTTATAAGGACAGAATTTTAAAATAGAACATTTTTTTAAACTTATTCACCATTTTCGACCTAGTTGCTAAATATTTAGCAAATTCGACCAAGTTTCAACCACGCCAGCAACATGGACTGAAACTAGGTTGATTTTGCAAAATATTTCACTACGTACTTCATGGGATTAAGAATCCTATGAAGTTTAGTAGATAGATAAACTTCACGGGATTCCTAATCTCGTGAAGTACAACGCTTCACCGGATTGAGAATTCCATGAACTTTCTTACAACAGAAATCTTCACGGGATTCTCAAATCCCGTGAAGTTTGTGTGTATTACAAACTCCACGGGATTGAGAATCCCTGAGATGCAGACTCACTCAAATAACATTTGCTGTCTGTCATCTCTTTTCCAATATATACACTATCTTTCACAACCTATGATAGATATACAAAATCAACATATACAAAAAATTCAGCCACATGTATATATGGAAAATCTAACTAACCACATATACACGAAAATTCAATCAAATAAATATACGAAAATCGAACCACATAAATACTAAAAACTTTAACAACATAAATACATATCTTTTCGAACAATCGAACCATATATATTCAAAGAACTTTTAAAATCACAATACAAAACATCATATAATATAGAAAAGTCACATACATCCTAGCAATCCTCCCCTCCTTCCTCTCCATCTCTTACACCTTTCCCACATTCCCGCCCCGCCCCTGACATCCATGAATATTAGCCTCGTTAACTCATCATTTGGCTAGGTATGAAGGTGTGTATGAGGCTATGTAGTGGGTAGATCACCCTAAGTGAAGCATGCTAAGAAGTGCCGGTTCATCATCCCATGCCGTAGAAGAGTCCGCCTTACTTCTTTGCATGTAACTTGTACGAATTCTCTTGTCCTTTCCCATGGCCTTCAAACTCATCGATGTGATTCCTATGGAACATATTGACTACCATCATTCTAATTTTTTTGAATATTGACAGTGCATTTGGATATCGAGCCTCAACAATGCCCACATTTATATATTCTTCAATATCAACTTGCATTTTAATTTGATGATACATAGCTTAGGTAGACATATGGTTTCAAAAGAAAATTTTCATTTTCCTTGAGTTTAAAAACTTATATAATCTCTCTTAACCATGCCTCTCAACATGTAAGTCTCCGAGGAAAGGCATGATATGAATCCAACGGCTAGGTGTGGATCATGTAGGATCCATCTGCATGTAATAGCCCAATACCAATGCATATACTTTGTATATGAACGAGGAGCTCTCTCATGCTCTACAAGATTATGTCTGTCATTCCACCAGATTATGTAGGCCTCATGATAACTCCTCTAGTCCACATGATGTGATGCCATCCAATGCATGCCATCAATTTGCTCAATAGGAATGGATAAATGTTGTCCTAAAAAAAATTGTCGTAAAACATGATCTGACACATGCATCTCCATAATCTTGAAATAGATCAATAGTACTCTAGCCTCCATAAATCAACACTCTCTCTGCAAATAGGCGGCATGTAATTGAGAACATTCTGAGTATAGAGCATTCACTTGAACTGGAAAATAGTTGTTAAAAAGCATGTATTAGAATCTACATCAAAATATAAATAGAAATTATGAATTGTGAGATAAATTTTACATGTTTATGTTGCATGATATCTCGCTCATTTCTATTGAAAATCCGTATTTTTGGTAGGGGTATTATAGAATGACCTCCTCACACTATACTTGATTGACATGAGAAAAGATATTAGAAATTCACATATGAATCAAACTATGTATAAAATTGATTTTAAATATTAAACTTGTATACCTGCATCCTTGTGGAAACTGACCCTGTAGATTGTGATGGGTCTCTAAATTAGGTCATCCAATATATACGTGTTCCCAAGATCAAACTTGTAGCAACGTTATGAAACCCTTGAAGTCCTTATTCTCTATCAATGAAACCCTTACTAGTTCTTTATAGAACTCCTCCAAATCCTCAAGAAGGGTCAACCATCGAGCATGTACACAATTTTTTCTCGCATTAGGAAATAGTATATCGCCTAGCATGTGTAATATGTAAGCTCGAGCAAAGTATCGAATCGTCTCCCGTGATGTGTTAATAGGTATATCTCCCATAAATGTCTCATGAAGCCATGATAGCTTTATCACACTGCTCCACAAAGGCGAAATCACTCCTAGTAGCCTCTGACATACATCCTCCCAATCATGGTCATCAGTGCCCGTAACAGGTGAGCCATCAATTCGTAGCCCAAGTATGATGGCTACATCCTGTAGTGTAATTGTGCACTCCCCTACATGCATATGAAAAGTATTGGTCTCTGGCCTTCACCTATTAATCAAAGTATGGATAAGGGTCCAACCAATCCTAATCCATCACATCGAAAAACACTCCTAAAAATTGGTCTGACTAACCAACTGTAGTACTCTCTCATCCTCCATCTCTTAACCTGAATAGCTTTGATCATGATCTATTATGTTGATCTTTGTTACCTTCTGCATGTTATTATGAAAAAAGGAAATACTTTAGAATACACGTAATCAAATTCATGCAAAAAATAGAAAATACACACTTATATTTTACTTCTCCTAACCCAATCTTCCTAGAACAATGATTGACTTGCTGATATAGTACATGCCCTTGAATCGGTCCAGGCTCCATAGTGTATCTCTCTGTAATTAAAATGAAATATATTAAATGAACTACAATAAATGACATAAAAAGTAATATAAAACTATACACAACAAAATAAATAGCAAATTTTTATATTACATTAATTCTATTAAAACAAATAAGTTTTTATTTTACATTGATTCTCCCAAAATAAACAAGTACGTT